GGGGTCATTATATATAACACAATATAATTTGTATTAGAATTGAAGTCTCTGTTTTTCTGTTAACATTTCAAATATCTATTTAGTTTTGATGTATTAATTTACTTTTTCCTATGATTTTATGAATAAATAATAATCTTACAAAATTTTTTTTTGTTTCCTTCTTTTATCAAACTTTACAGGTCTAACAGAGCAAAGAGAGGGGTCCTGCATAGAAAGGTTGCTATGCTGGATATAAATTGGGGAAAAATACAACACAAGTTTTTGATGATGGTTATACACAAGTTTGTATGAAACCACACAAGTTTCAGAAATTTCAACACAAGTTTCAGAAATTTTAACACAAGTTTCAGAAATTTTAACACAAGTTTCAGAAATTTCAACACAAGTTTCAGAAATTTCAACACAAGTTTCAACACAAGTATTGTGTAGATTTCACACAAGTTTTGTGTTGTTTGATACATTTTAACACAAGTTTTGTGTTGTTTGATACATTTTAACACAAGTTTTGTGTTGTTTCAACATTTAACACAAGTTTTGTGTTGTTTTAACACAAGTTTGTGTTGTTAAATAGAGACACCTAACTTGTGTTGAATTTAACACAAGTTTGTGTTCTTTCAACACAAGTTTTTTTTCAGTGTAGTTTTATGCCTGTTTTCATATTCATTGTATTTAAGTGTGGGCCTAAAGTTATTTTGACGTCACGATATGTAAGAGACGTCATCTCTTTTAACGTGATTGTTTTTAACGTGATTAAACTGTAATCTTATCAGTTAAGTAATATGTCATTATAATTTTTGGTATTCATAATTTTGCATATATTATTTTAGTGCTAGTTCACAGGCAAATATCTTTTTAGGATATTTTTTACTATTATTATGTCTGAGAATTTCTTGCCACGTTGCTTAGTTCTAGGTCATAGTTTTGTGCGTGGGCTTGGAAGGTACTTGCTTGGGTCAGGTGCTTTTGCCAATTGTCAGACACCGATAGATATTAATCTCGCTCAGAGTGTGAAATACGTTTCTTCAGCTTGGGTGGGGGCACTGTCAATACTCTTGTAAATAATTCTGAACTTACGGAGTTCTTATACAGTTTCAAATTGGGGGAATGACCTATGTAATAGGCACAGAACCCCTCGGTATGTTGCAAATGCATTTATTAGTTATGGATCATATTTAATATACGAATTTGGGGTTAGACATGTTTATATATGAAATATTCACGCGACCTTTGCCTCGTGGCATGACACCTGAATTATATTTACATTGGAGAAATGCAGTTAACGCAATTTTGACTTCTACAAGTATGGATACCAATATTTTTATTTGGCGACACAGAAGCATTTTTAATAGCCCACATCAAATTTTTGGTGACGATCATTGTTATCTAAATGAAGCCGACAATAAGAAATTTTATCGAAGCATGAGATTAGCTTTGAAATTTGCGTGTGATAATTGAGTTAAACATTGGCCGTCAAATATGAAGGTTATGGCGGTCAGGTCGCTGAGGTCATTTCAAATCAGTGCAAGTTCGATGATTGTGACATTGTTTCATATAACGGTATAATGACGATATGGATTATAGTCCGTTATGACGGACAGGTGGCTGAGGACAGTTCACATCTGTGCAAGTTCAATGATTATTACATTGTTTCGTGTAATATAACCGAATTCCTATATATTTATGTTATGCTATCATGGTATATCCTTATAATATGACTATATTTATACGGGTGATTTAGTGACAATTAGGTCATCACCCAAATACCATATCGTGTAATAATATACAAATTTATTGTAGAGGAAATTTGGATAAAAAATGTTTTCTATCATGTTACAGTATAATTATTTTACTCCATAATGAGAGAGAGAGAGAAAGTCCACTCGACACAAACTAGGTCATTTCGGGACTAACATATGGTTTAATTTTACTTACATAATTCGCTTGCGCGTAGGGGTCTTTAGCAGTGGGAGGAAACCGGAGGACCCGGAGAAAACCCACGAGGTTGGACAGGCGACCCTACTCCTTGCGACGTACAACCGGGCTCCATAATGATGACATGGGTACTAAGTGAAGTTTGAAATTCAAAAGGATAATTTTAATATGAATATTAAATAGATATCTTTGCTTATGACATAGATTATAGTTCAGCTCTATCAATGCTCAATGTATTTTAGTATTCAGATACAATTTACTTAGCTAGTATAGCTATTAATGTTGAAGGGATATCTTTGTTTTGGGAATCTTGTCACCATGGTTTAGATAGTTTAACCTTTTCATTGTTCAAAGTAGTTCAGCTATAATATTATTCAATTATTTTAATTTTGTGGAAGAGATACCTGGTTTAAACCTGTTATCTTTCGGTTTTATACTATATTACAAGGATGTCTTATAGTATTCTTAGTAGTTTATTATGTTAATGTTTAAAAGGATATATATCTATATTGTCATATCTGACATTAAGAATATTAGAAATATTTCACCTGATTGGAATACCTTATTTTAGATAGTTTAACCCTGTTATTAATATTACTGTTATTACAGGAATATCTTAGCTTTGGTAGTTTAGTCCTGTTTAGGTTTGATATTTATGTTACGCCATGCGTCGTCTCTGAGAATCATTATTGAAATACGATATATATATATATATATATATATATATATATATATATATATATATATATATATATATTTGTATTCAGTTTTGTCATAACTCTCTGTAATATGTATTATAACTGATATATATTTGATACAAGTTGGACTATCTTATTACGTTTCCTCTCTGTATAGGCCCATAAAGGCCCGCTGTAGGTCAAAGCAATTTTATATTCATTGTTTTGTCTTCCCAGGTACTTCAGTCACACCAAACATGTCCAGTAATAAACAATCTTTATCAAGGGCAAAACTCGTAGTTCCATTGCTACCGATGACCGTGCAGTTGCAGATATTAGCCATGTAACATTGGAAATGAAATGAAATGAAATGGGGTTTAACGTCCTACTGTTCTGCTCCTATCCTGGGCTAATGAAGACAGGCATACGCCATACAGTGTGCTATGAGGGAAATTTTGCCCGGACAGCGGCGCTACGGCCTACTCTTATATCGAATTTTACGTGCATTCCAATATTTACACGGGACCTCGGTTTTTCGTCTCATCCGAAGGACTAGACAGCCGTCCTTGTCAGGCCCTCCGTTCTGCACCACTGACAAGGAGAAACCACGTCGGAAAATCTGGATGAACTTTCTCGGTCAATGCAGGGATCGAACACCCGACCTCCAGGCTAGCGAGCCAGCGTCTTAACCACCTAGCCACCGTGGACTGGCATTTCGTTTTAAAGGGATTTGAGACATATTCTATATTTGCAACTAGGTTTGACGTATATATGTTTATGTTGAATTGTTCTGCGTAATTATACTATTGGAATATATGTACATAATGGGCTGTACATAATTCACATTAAGGCTTTTCACTTGATTATTAATATGTTTTAGTCTACAGTATTGATTGCAACACTGCCTTTATCGCTTGTTGGCCATTTTATGGATTGCTGTCACTTTTAATAATTTTAAGATAAAGGTGTGACTCCTTTCCTTATTTAAAGTAAATCATGTTCTATAAAGAAAACATGTTTTAGCCTTTCGCCTCTAGTGGGGAAGCTTATGGATATCCATAATTTTTATAATATCCATAATCTTTATGGCGGAATCTTTCAGATCCCCACTTTGGCAGAAAGCTAAATTGTATTGTATCCTCTACGGTTTTCAATTTAAATTAGTACATGCTTATTTTTCATATGCTTTTAATTTCATGCTGCATTTTATTAAACGTCACCTTTGGTGGCCTTTTCAATTTCAATATTGTGATTGTTGTGATATGGAAATATAGCATAAATGACTGCTTACTGAACAGATTGTTTTCCCAGATATAACTAAGACCCATATTATATGAATCTTTTTTTTTTATATTTACAATTATTAACTCATTAAAACTTGATTTTAACAATACATTTGTAGTTGAAGCCAACTTATAATAAAGTATTTGAATGTTCTAACTTTTCTGATAATATATATTGGATAACGATCATGTTCATAATAAATCATACAAGTATGTGTTTATTGGCGAACATTCATCAGCTTTTTGAAAAATGAACTGTGAATTCTTTCTACGTTATGAAAGCCTCAGATTTTAGATCCGTAGCTTAAAAGATAATCTATCAAACATTTGCTTCAAATCACTCTCCAGCCATTCTATTCGCGAGTTGTTGGATTAATTTGTACCAGAGACTTGAACGATGAACAAAATCAATAAAACAATAATAAACACGTTAATTAATGTACAATTAATTAATGTTTGTAAAACAAAAATAGCGTTTATAGTGGAGAGACCTTTTCGAAAACCAAATTGTGAATTTGTTTTGACGTTATTAAGTTTATCAAATGTTAATATCCTTGTATTTAAAATTGATGTAAAAAGTTTACCAAGGTAACTTGATACGGTGATACCTCTATAATTGTCTGGTACAATGTTACCTATACACTGGTACAATGTTACCTATACACTATGAAGTTGAATAACACCCAGAGCTTAATATATTATTGAAAAATAATAATACACATGATAATGAATTTATTTCTACAATGTATAAATAATTTATTTACCATGTTAACAGTGCCATACGCTTTACTAGCTTTTAAATGTTTAATGGCCGTGAGTATTTCACACCCAATAATAGGTCTATCCATGTCTAATGGCCGTGAGTATTTCACGCCCTATAATAGGTCTATCCATGTTTAATGGCTTCCAGTATATCACTCCATATAATAGGTCTATCAATATATCTGCACACTACAATGTTGATATGCTAGTTAATAATTGTATTACAATATGCGAATACTTTAGGTCAATTAAGCATATTTGTGATTCACGGTAGATTAAACAATACAGCGTAAATGTATTTAATATTTAATATATCTGTTGAACCCATACACGTGGTTGACACGTCGCGAGAAACATTCCTGGTATTTTAAATTTAATAATTCCGATCATATTGTGTTGAGTTTTTAGCTGTTTTCTATTGTCACTGATCAACTGGAAATATGTGACGAGAATGATATGATATAAATCCATTAAGGTAAACAGATTCATAATTATTTTCGGTAAAGTTTTTGTTTCTCTTTTTCGAAAGGTGCCCTGTTGACAAAATTTAAAAAATTAAAACATGAATCATGGATAAAAAGATTTATTCTTCAGACGTGGATCGATGATTCAAAGATAATACTGATGTCACTGTGGAATTTATAGAAAGTTAACTTTGATTATTTTTGTTTGTTTGCAATTTACATGAGTAACATAAACACCATTTGTTATTTTATCAATGAAATGTGTATTCATTTAATGAAATAATTTGTGTAATAAATACTGTATCGTCATTTCCATTTTATTTTAACGTTTCAGCCGTGAATGTAAACCGTTTACTTACATCCCAGATCAGTATCAATTAGCCCACATAGTTACAGACACGAAACATTTATTATATTCAACCCGGTACATTTTATTTTAACGTTTCGGCCTTGAATGTAAACCGTTTATTTGCATCCCAGACCAATATCAATTAGCCCGAAATATTTATTATATTAAACCTGGTAAATTGGTTAAAATCGACATTATGCATTTAGACCAATTGATGGTCGACATAGGTGACTTTGGTTGGTACCAAATAGCCATCGTGGCCTGTTACCTGTTAACAAAGATTCCTGTTGCCTTCACCATGATGGAAATGGCTTTCACTGGGTTTATTCCTGATTGGTGGTGCGATTCCACAACATCAGATCTCGTAGCCTATGACAACAACGCGACATCCTACTTAGTTAACAATGGCAACATCAGTGGTTTGAACCAATGCTATGGCTCCGGCAACGCAACAAATTGTACACGAGTGTTTGATTTGAGCAAACGAACCATCGTGAATGAGGTAATTGTATATTTGATTAACTTTTCCATCAGTGGCTCTAGATTGCGGAAAACTCGGTGTTTTCATCTTCAATAAAAATTGCTGGGTGGATTTTAACAAAATTTGGTTGATCACTGGCAAGAATGTTTCCTAAAAGGTTATTTGGTTCGAAAGGCGTGGGTTCATGGGCACATCAAAGAGTTACATTTATCGTATTTATTGATAGATATTTTGCACGATTCGTGCGTATACACAACCTTTCACGTGATGTTACTTGATGCAATAGACAATCGAAAGCAGGAGCTTTGATTGGGAACATTTATGAATTTGACATTTTTTCGTCCAAACGGATTGATTAATTTCAACCAAATCTGACAAGTATGGGGATTTTGAATTTCTACCATGTTGGATTTTCAAAATTCATTTTTAAATCCAGAAACATCGAAAACCATATGAAAGATATAATAAAGTCATATCTTACGAGATAGTGACTGGTTATATACGGGGACAATGCCATTTTATTACCAAATTCGGCAGCCATTTGGACAAAAATGGCCGGTACTATTTGAAAATTGTTTTTTTAAAAATTGGTTTAGTCAAATTTGTTATTTCCGGAAGATTTCGCTACTATTACCACTTTGTATTGTAAGATTTTAATAAAAAAAAAATCTCTTTATTGTCTCACCACTAAACACACTACTTAAAGATATCACTCACAGAAACTTCCTGGTGACCGCCATATTGAATTATGTTAATTACCTCATTTCGACTCGCAGATGTTTCATTTTATTTCATTCGGTTGTTTTTATTTTTACAGTGGGACCTAGTATGCGAAAACAGATGGATAAGTTTTACAATTACAACTGTTCAAATGTCAGGCGCGTTAGTTGGAGCAACTGTTGTAAGTTATACCGGAGACAGATTCGGTAGACGCAGAACACTATATGTCATACAGTTTCTCCATATCATCTTCCTTGGTATTTCTGCGGCGTCGCAGTCTTGGCGTGTATTCGCAGCCATGAGATTTGGTATCGGATTTTCAGGTGGTGCCACGATTGTTGTGAGTTTTCCGGCTTCCATTGAGTTCGTTGGAAAGAAGTGGCGAGCGTTGCTAGGGGCATATCCAGTCTGGGCTGGAACATCCCCATTTCTACCACTGGTCACCTGGTTGTTCCCGAATTGGCGCCATTTTAAGATCATCGTCTGCATTATCGCTTTTCCTATTTGTTTAGGTTTCTTGTAAGTTACTTTCTTTATTAGGAGAGAGAGAGAGAGAGAGAGAGAGAGATGGGGTTTAACGTCCACTCGACACAAACTAGGTCATTTCGGGACTAACATATGGTTTTTAATTAAATTTTTATTTCAATAATTCGCTTGCGCGTAGGGTCTTTAGCAGTGGGAGGAAACCGGAGGACCTGGGGAAACCCACGAGATTGGACAGGCGACCCTACTCCTTGTCACGTACAACCGGGGATTCGAAACCACGCCAGTTGACTCAATGACAGGCTTATGATACAGCACGCACGTGCTAACCATCCGGCCACCCAACCCCCTTCTTTATTAGGTTATCTAGCTGAATTCCAATCTTTGATATAACTTGTTGCTGAATTCCAATCTTTGATATAACTTGTTGCCGTATCTAGGCTTTGATATAACTTGTTGCCGTATCTAGACTTTGATATAACTTGTTGCCGTATCTAGGCTTTGATATAACTTGTTGCTGAATTCCAATCTTTGATATAACTTGTTGCTGTATCTAGGCTTTGATATAACTTGTTGCCGTATCTAGGCTTTGATATAACTTGTTGCTGAATTCCAATCTTTGATATAACTCGTTGACGTATCTAGGCTTTGATATAACTTGTTGCTGTATCTAACCTTATCAATTATATGATGCCTCCACACAAAAGGACACTTATTCGTGGGTTAAGCTCAAATGTTCAATGGGGTAAACCTTAGGAACAGCCCTTGCTCAATCTTTGAGGTGGTGTTCAGACTCTATAGCCACAGCACAAACAATTTCAAGATCGAAATTGACCTCGCAAAGAATTAAACTACATGTATTTAAAATAAATAGTTTTAGATTTTCTTATCAGGTTATACAACACAAATTTTAATTTTAGCATGTCATGTATACACTGAAAAAACACTTGTGTTGGATCTCAACACAAGTACTTGTGTTAAAACTAATCTACACAAGTTATGTGTTGTTTTGCATTGCATTAACACAAACTTGTGTCGATTTATAAAATCTTGTGTGTTTTTTCATATCATTAACACAAGTAATGTGTACCTTCCACGATTTGTTTTCTTTTTAAGAAAAAAACTCCATACAAAGTCTGAATTCGGGAGTCGTCAAGTTTTAAGAAAAGTAATAAAGGGCTTAATTCACATCTCGAAAATCACTGGAAGGGAGTGAGTACCAATTAATCAGACATTTGCCAGACAGACTTGAATGTTAATTGGTGTTAAGTTGTCTGTATAGTTAAAATGTCTGTCTTTTTTTATTGACCCAATAAACTGATAGACCAAATGAATATATAGTGTACATGTGATTTTCAGCACCCTGGTGTTTTCGAAAATTGATTCAATGTGCAATGAACAAAAAAAATGAGTAAAACTCTTAATAATGTAATTGGTTGATGTAATCGAAATTGGACAGTATTGGTTAACTGAAAAGTAACCAATCAAATTTAATTGATCATCCACGTGTATCTCATAATCGACTTATTGATATAATGGTTCTCCAAGTTATCTATACTTTTTGTCTGCGATATCACTTCGGTGGAAGCGGGCGTAAAATACAACTAACTAAGAAGAAGTATCTATACTTTAGTCATTGCGACAAATTCTTTCTTTGATATTATATCAGCGACATTCAGTTAGATGTAGTGACGTTAGCATCAACAGAGTGCTTTAGCCGTGATATTTTTAAAAAAAAAATTATAATGGTCACATAGAATACCAGACCGCAGGTTTGTAAATTTTTACAAAAAATAAAACCGTGTATTTAATTTAGCATGTATATATTGCTTCTATGTATATAATAATTCGTTTCGTTTAAAACAGTCAGATTTAGAACCACTGCCACTGACTGCACCGAAATTCTATTTATATAATGGCGCCACAAAGAAATTTTTTTTGATGTGTTCTAAAAGTGTTCCGCTAATTCAGCAATCTAATGAATCTGTCTTAATTTTTCTGAAATCGTGCTTAATTATTATTAGCTAATCGGCGCTACACCGTTGTTCAAATACTTATAATTGCAAGAAACCCCCGACTAGGACCAGCAGGTAAGAATCTGTTTTGATTTTATAGTAATGCCCGGTTGCAATTATTGGCCGCCATCTTTGATTTTTATAGACGTTCGGGCCAAAAAAAAGGAGAAATGTATATCCAGACATGGACTATAGCTAGATACTAACTTTTGTGTTAGTTGTTTATTTGAAATGTAATCTTAATATTTCTGTAAAAGAAAAAAACAACAACAAACAAATCAGCCTTTTTTTATATCAATGTCATCAATGTGTAGGCCTAATAATTAGACTTTCAATGATTCAGAAGTTTCTCTACAGTTTCATTATTTTTTTTCCAGTCATTGATGTTAGCATATGTACTACACAAAGAAAAACAGGTAACAGAATTTCATTTCCTTTTAATATATTTTTTAAATAATGGCCAATAATTGTTATTGTATGTAACAGGAAAAGTATTTATCTCTGTAGAGAGAGGGCGAGTAAATGGGGTTTAAAATTCACTAAATTCACTTGACACAAACTATGCCATTCATTTCCTTGTATTAAATTGGTCGAATCAATGATGGGTTAGTTGTATTTTACGTCCGCTTCCACCGAGGTGATATCGCAGACAAGGTCGAATCAAGTAGGCCCATGCTTTATGTCCTAGAATCAAGTAGGACGGGTAGTCTTCTTCCGTTTCCGCCCTTTTCCTGAACACTGTCTCATTCTATTGCCATCTGTGTATGTTGTGTTATATTAATTCTGCATAAACCTAGAGTTGTTGTTAGTGTTTGTCGGATAGATCCTTTATACTTACTGGCGCTAGGTAATTTTGATGCTAATATTGTTCAATTTTATTTGAATGATTTGCTTGCGCGTACCGTAGGAGTGTATTAGAAACAGTGTTCGCGCAGGTTCGAGAACGGCTGAAGAACATGAAAACACTTTCATGAGTCTCGAACATGAGAGAACGGTATCCATGGTAACAAGATGAATTAAATTTATACAATCTGTTACGATAACTTGTTTGGTATTGACTTCGCTATTAGGCATACTTATGATAAATTATGACTCCATTTTACTCCTTTTCAATTCTTTGGATGACGATTACATCACCTTTTGATACGCCCACATGGAAATGTGGTCGCATATTGTCATCGCCCTCGTCCGTAGGTTTGTCCGTCGTCTACAGACCTGATTATTTTGAAATTGATATGTTGTTTATTTTAATGAGATGAATCCTATTTAATTTCAATAATTTCCGTTAGTTTCTTCTGGAGTTATGGCCCTTGTTTCACTTTGTGAAATGCATTTGCATCTTTTAAATTAGTAAAACGAAGACGTCTATTAAATTTCTGCGATTTCCGTGAATTATGTCTAGAGTTGTGGCCCTTGTTTCACTTTTTCGAACCTTGTGGACGCGCGAACAACAAAATTATCATCCGATTTGTATGCATTATTTAAATTAGTAAAACACAAAACAAAAAAATCTGTCAAATTTCAACAATTAAGGCCCTTGTTTCAGTTTGTAGAACCTTTGTAAACCCACAAACGACAAAAATTATAATCTTTTCTTGTAAATGCCCACATTACCTACAAAAGAATGAATATGCGACAATCCCTGTTGACTGAGCAAACGATTAAACTGCTGTGGGCATATGTTTCGTTGCCTGGCAACCTAACTTATTTGATGTTATACTGGCCACATACTACATCCAATTTTCGAACGGTATTAAACTTTTAAATTAATAAATGCACCCATGATGCTGTTTTCTCAGCAGTTATCGATGCGTCGACCATGTTTGTTCTCCCTCACACCAGCTATGAGGTAGTGTGGGATTTGAGAACGGGAACGTGTTCGTGAACGCATTCCAGACTGCTCAAGTCCGACAAGAACCCATTCTCCGTCCGTTCTCTGCACCGGAACACTGTTTCGAATACACCCTAGGGGTATTTAGCAAAGGGAGGAAACCGGAGGACCCGGAGAAAACCCACAAGGCTGGACAGGCGACCTTATTCCTAGTCACATTCAAGTGGGGAATCACATAATAATGGCCTATTTCAAATAAGATATTTGCATATAAAGAAAGTAGGCCTACAGCCTCTTTCAAATGTGATATTTGCATATAAAGAAAGTACAAACTTAAATCGTCAGTACTGGATAAACTAGCCAAAGGATTCGGCTGAATCAATTGGCGCTAAACTTCACCTAGTTTATCCACTGACATACGCCCGAATCAAACATGTTTAATATATTTGGTCGAATTGTATTTGAGTGGTGTGTCCTGCTGTCCGCTTCGCCGAAGCATTCGTCTGATTTTAGAATTCATTAGCCAATCACCACTCATTTATATCGAGTGGGTATCACAAACTAGCAGTCGAACTGTGACACGGGTGCTACAGCCAACAAATTCCAACTACCATACTATCGGCTTAAATGCACGCCAATTGGACCTCAGGTTTTGTGTTCCATTGAAACTACTAGAAATGAAATGGGGTTTAACGTCCTACTATTTTGCTCCGAACTGGGCTAATGAAGACAGGCATACACCACACAGTGTGCTATGAGGGAAATTTTGCCCGGACAGCGGCACTGCGGTCTATCGAATTCCAACTGTCAAGGGATCTTTTACGTGGACGCCAACGTGTACACGGGACCTCGTTTTTTCGTATCATCCGAATGACTAGACAACTGTCCTTGTCAGGCCCTCCATCCTGCATCACTGACAAGGGGGAACCACGCCGGAAAATCTGGGTGAACTTTCTCGGCCAATGCAGGGATCGAACACCCTACCTCCAGGCTAGCGAGCCAGCGTCTTACCCACTTAGTCACCATGACGACTAGACAGGGAATCCATGCTAAAAAATCCAAATGAGCTTTCTCGGTCAACACTGGGAGCAAACCTACAAACTCCCGGGTAGCAAGCCAGTGCCTTACACACTAAGCCACATGGCTCTCTTCTAATTACTGTGACAGTCCAGTCACATGACAAACAAGGG